CCAGAGGGAACAACCCTTGAGACAACAAGGCAAAGATGGTCATTAGAAAAACAGGTAATTTTCAGTTCAACACCAGCAGCTTTTATTCTCTCAACAGCATATCAAAGTCTATCAGAATTCAATGGTTTATTGCGCTGTTTTTCTAACTTTGCGTACTTCAGAAATTGTTTCTATCTCATTTTCTGGTACATCTAAAGATTTTGGGCAATATATGATGATGGTCAGCTTTTCACTGGCTTCACTGGATTCTAGAGACCGAAGACTATATCGGTTTTTATTCTTAGAAAATTCAATCATGTGTCCCTATATCGTTAAAATTCAAAATGGACGCGAAGAAGCGAAGCGAAGAAGTATGCGTGCTTTAACTACGTTATCTTCTTTGCTGAAATCTCCAAACATATCGTTTTATCGTTTCGTTAATCTCGTTTTATATCTGTATATGTAAGTATAGTTACATAATAGCCTATTCCTACAAAACCTCTTCCACCTCTATTGTGCACCCCGTCCCGTCTAATTGTGTCCACATCATCCTCAGGTTTACTGGTAGAAAATGGCCATGGCATTAAGTAAGCCAATGTGTATTTGTGTAAAAAAAGTTAATAAATAAAAAAACTATGTATTATTAAGAAGTCATTTTTATCCGAAGTTATAGTATAACTAGTATCTTTGAGGACCACATTATATGTTCCGGATCTTTGACTTTTGAACATTAGCAGAATATATTGATCAGGCGCAATATATTTTTTATGGTGTCGCTGGTCTGTTGTGGTGGTGCATCAAATGTTTAAGTTTCCAAAATTAATTATACCCCATATATTGCCCAGGTGTTAACAAAATAAGTTTCATACAAATATACTCAGTAGTCCCGAAAATAAACGTGTACATACAGATAAACAGACAATATTTTTAAATTTCGTATTTTTTATAATTCGTATTCTATTACTGTTTATTAACCACCCTCAATTTCTTTATTTTTTGTAAATATATTCAATGTACAGACATTACTTTTTTGCAGATTTGTTATAAGTATAAAACGTGTAACAGAAATAACACATATCCTTATACACCCCAATTAGAAAATGGATTTATAATCATAGAACGAAAATAGGAATGTCACTTTTATGTATTAAAACATAGTTTATGACACAGTTATACTTATTGCTGGGTAACGGTGTGGACATCTTACAAAGCAACTCAATGACGTGAAAATTACGGCTAAGCCTGTAACTTCAAATATATGTACTTACAGCGCAATACAACAATGATACCACTTATCTACCAAAACAAATTCTTGACATGAAATATTACTCTGTTTCGAGATTCAGTATTTTTTAAGTTAAGGCAATAATTATGATTCTTACTAATTATAAATATCAACTAGCATAGTCTTACTATCACATATCCCATAATCCTTAAGTACCACATCATATCACCAGCCCCTTTACGTCCCCACTGCAGGGGCTCAGGCCTTCCTTATGGATGGTTAAGGAGGATGGGCCATGACGCCGGGACCAACGGCTTAACGTGCCTTCCGAAGCACGGAGTAGTTTGAGATAATAATTTTTTTGGTCACTCATCCCGTGACCGACCCTTGCGAAAGTTGCTTAACGACTACGATTGCGGGCCGCGGCGCTTATCCATTACGCCACCGAGCTATAAAAAATGTCTGACGGCAATCCTTAAGCACTTCGACGTATTAACTGTGTTAGTACGATATAACGAAGAATAAACAAACTACTTTCAGAATGTGCGTTAATTATGTTACACGTTGTATATAGATATACAGCGGATGTAAAGTATTTAATCGCGTTTAGTTCCCTGTCTGCTATAGAAATTTTACTACATACTTATATGTTTACTCATAAACTCGAAAGTAAAATTATCTCTGCTTAGATAAGAAAGGACTTAATAAGGATTCGATGCAACAGTTTTTTTTTTCTATATTTTTAAATATAGCTACAGCTGTTGTGATACACCTATAAGTCATATTTTTAGTGCAAGTAATATATTTTTTTATAAATCGAAGACAATTTTCTTTTATAAAAAAATACATTTTCCATGACAAAAACAATCTAAGCCAATAATAACTTTTTCTATAAAAACTTTAGTGAATTTTCGTTTAATAATTGTAGTATTATAATTGTATTGGAATTCATAAAAAGAGTGTTTTTGGATGACTTTGCCTTCCCTACAAGCTCTATATCTTTAATGTACTATTTAAAATATGCATAGACTTTTAAGATATTGTTTTTGAATCAGTTCCCTTTGAAGTATCAAATAAAAAATGTCTGACGGCAACTTTGATCATCTATATGAATGGGATTAATAAAATGATTGTGTTTTAATGGTTTTATCCTAACCGGTCACCAGTCCTGTACTCTGATGATGCGTGAGTATTACAAAATATCTCTCCACCTCCATAAAAGGATCATGGCTAGAGGAAAAAATAACTCTTCTTCAAGTTATGAAAACAGGATATGTTTTATTAACCCCAGTCCAAAGATCAGGTAGAGTCCAATTCTTAACGCATTAATTATTTTTAAATGACCATGAAATGTTCGACAGCAAGACGATGGTAGAAATAGGCGCATGTACCCTATATTCTCATAAAAACGATTCTAAAATTGCTGTCATTCACCTCCTCCGGCAAGTTCGATATGGATATGTGTACTAACTACAATGACTTCCAATCAATATTGCATATGGTGAATATTGGTTTCCGTAAAGCCGACCTACCAAAAATACGTACAATTAAAATGTATGAAAATATAAATGGTATGAAAGTCCGTCTCAGTCATACTCGGCGGGGATTAGGTGCCATGACGTGATATTTGGTTTATTCTGATTGGCCGACATTATCAGGTACAATCAGCAGCAAGTCAGGTTACTGCAGTCTATCAAATTATTTTTAAATTATTTTTTGTTATTTTTTAATTCTTTTTTTAATTATTTTTAGCTCTACCTACAATACATTAAGGTTTAAAATCGAGTGAAGAAATGTGATGTGATGTGTGGTATCATAAGTGATTTTATAAAGTTATTTCATATTTCTTTTAATTTTAAATCTTTTCATTGTTCAATGCAAAGCATTTGACCTTTTTTCAAAAATCAATGAATTAGAATAAAATTCTGAAACATGAAACAGACAAAATAATAGCATCTTATTTTGTCGACCCAAAAAGAAAAAACATACTTGTCTTTTCTAAGCCCCATAAAAATCTGGAGTAAAAAGAAATTATTCCTTGCTTGTAAAAAAATTCAGCGCCACCTATTGTGTTAGCACTTTAGAGAGCTAACTCAAAGCACTTGATGGTTATAAAACGTCATTGTTATTAGTACAAAGTTTATCTGCTGGCGCTGAACCGATAGGCATTTGTTATTCTTCTGAGGAACGTGCAATGAGCTAACCCACACTAGCGTAGACACCTGTAATTATGTAAGGGGGCGTGTCGATTTCTAAAAATCATTCGGTGTCCTCAGCCTCTTAAGCCGAACGCCTACCCCGACCGTAGTGAAGAACGCTTATGGTGGGGGTAACATTATATAACATTCTGTACATGTGTTGAACGTCAGTCTGCCATAGTTATAGTAGTAGCCAAAACTCTGTCCATTGTTTAAAGTCAGTGTCATTATGTTATATTAGTATTTGTTTGTCTGTATATGAATTAAAATCGGATGACGGAACACTTTGCGTATTGTTTTATTCCTTATATCACACTTATGGTTATATTAAAACGGTATTATTTATAACGTTAACTTCTAATTGTGCGAGGCGTTTGTGTCAGCCGCTTTACTGATCCTGTAAATTTAATTATATTTTTATGAGTATCGATATTTCTGCAGATTTAGAATAACAATTTAACAATCATCACACGATCAGAGGCGCGACCGCCTAACTCATAGACGTAGCCGTAGTCGTAGTATACCGAGGTCACGGATACTATTCACTTTTTCAAGTATTTTCTGACCAAGAATATAATCAAAACGTATGGTATAATTTTTTTTTGAAAACGTAATAGATTTGCATTTTGCCGCACTTAAATATAACTTGTTCAAGGTGCAATATTCATTCAAGCGGTCCAAGTCGCTTTGGAGACTACAACAGTCATTATTATTCTGGATATTTTTATAGATTTTTAAATCGTCTGCGTATAAAAGAAAGTTACTATTCTTAAAGCATTGGTCTATGTCGTTAATAAAGATAAGAAAGAGCAATGGCCCCAAGATCGAGCCCTGTGCCACGCCAGATGTAACAATAGTGCTGCTTGAAGCGTAACCATTTATGACTACTCTCTGAGTCCTATTACATAGATACATATGAACAGAACCATCGCAAGAGGTCTCCTCGAATACCATTGTATGCAATTTTCCTAAGAAGTAATTCGTGATCCACCTTATCAAATGCTTTACAGAAGTCAGTATAAATAGCATCTACCTGAATGCGATGATCCATAGATTCAAATAAGAAATTGCTAAATATGAGTAAGTTGGACTCTGTTGAACGTTGCTTGACGAAACCATGTTGTTGAGGTAATATGATAGTATGTAGCTGTGGATAAATAGCATTGTGCACTAATCTTTCCAGGACCTTGGCCAACACAGACAATAAAGAAATAGGATGGTAATTACGAACATCGCTCCTAGAGCCAGATTTGTAGACAGGAGTTACATTAGCCTTTTTCCAAATTTGTGGTACGGTGGCTTCTGTCATGCATTTATTGTATAATATAACCAGAGGAACCAAAATGTTTACAGCCGTAAGCCTAAAAACAAGAGGAGGGATGTTGTCCGGTCCATGTCCTTTGTGAATATCAAGTGACTTTAACACCTGCATTACTTCATCCCGTGAGAATTTTATATCTGATATTATAAGATCATAAGAAGGGTTTTCATTTTGTGCAGAGATTAAATCGAAATTATCGACGGTATTCGCCTCAAAAACTGAATTAAAGAAGGTCTTAAACAAGTTACAAATTTGTTCAGGATCAGGATTTGTTCACTTAGTATCTTTGTAGGTCATAACATTTGGAATACCGCCCGCGCCATTGTATTTGCGAACATAAGACCAGAATGATTTTATATCTTGACGTATGCTGGTCTCTACCGAATTTATATAAGTATTAAAACATTCATCGGAAAGGATTTTAAATCTACGACGATAAAGAGAAAAATTCTCATAGTCTGATATGTTACCTGTTTTTTTCCACTTCACCCATGCTTTGTCTTTATTTTTGAAAATGTGTATTAGTGGACGAGAAAACCATATAGGAAATTTTATTTAATTTTTCATATTCCTTATGTACGAAATCAAGTGATTTTTTGACTTCTTCAACTTCATTTAGCAGCTTTGTCTGTTTCTCGTCATATTTTGAGAACCACCTTTCCAATGTTGACATAATAGTCTCTTGAAATGATTTGAAGTCATTACGAAGATCATTACTGTCCATTCTGTTTCTTTGTGTAACAAAGTTGGGCGGTGTCACTTGTTCCAATAAATGTGGACTTTCGCTGGATTGAATGCCACTCATTTCACCGACACTCATTGCTTGTCCTTCTTGAGAATTAAATGTACTGTTTAAGTTGTTCATAATGCCTTCGCTGCAATGCAAACTACTCTGTGAACGATGGGCGAACGAATGTAGTTTTTAATACTAGTGACCGCTTCTCACGTACGTATTATCGTCTGCGCGGCTCGAAACACAAACGAGCAATGAAATAAAAATATTTAAACAAATACCTATATTAATTGACTCATTGTCACGGATGGAGTAATAATTGAAATGAAATACACATTATAAGAGTTATTACATATTATTTATTTAAGTAATCAAAGAACTGAAAAAATGTCTTCCTAAGAAGTAAGAATAATGAAATATACATTACTCGATTGCCGCCATGCCATTAGCTAGATGTCACTTTACTACTCTATTTTACTTATCTATACTGCGTCGGTACAAATCCGAATTACTCGAATGACTCGAGTCACAAAATCCTATTCGAGTCGCATCACTACAATCGACTGCATAGAGACTCGAGTAATATTTTTTTTTCAATCGAGTACGAGTTTGACAATTTCACGCGAGTGACTCGAATAAAAACAAGCCTCGAGTCGCATCACTAATCCTAGCTAGAATTCAAATGAAGATTCTTGAATTTGTTATTTTTTGATTACTGTAATATAAAAGGGATTCTTTGACGGATATTAATAAAATAAAACTAACTTTAAATGTAAGGTATTTCATCGAACCGCCGACGCTACGTCAGCGCTGTGCTCGACTCAGAAAGCCAAAGATGGGCGAATTCCTATGGTACTTAAATATTTTTCAAGACAGCAATAAATTCATAATGTACCTAAACGGTTACAGTTTAAGGCATGAATTTGTCTTACGATATGTCAGAATTCTAAAAATTATAAAAGTGGTCTTGCATATTTTAAATAAAACACTTTAACTATAATTACTAATACCTACTTATACCCACCCTTTGACGTACCTACGGATATTGTAGGCTACAATATCCGTAGGTACGTAAATAATGTTTACAAATTATTATACATAATTTGTAAACGAATCCACGAGCTATTCGAAGGGAATAATCGGAGCGTGTAAACACGGAAAGTAAAAGTCATCGCCGGGTTTGCTGAATTAATGGGTTTTTAATTGTTGCCCATTATCCGATTATAACACGATATTTGTTCATTTTGATTTGGAATCGTATTTTGTATACAAAATATTGGTACATCCATTTACTACGAATTGAATAAGGCTTCGTTCTTAATCAAATTGTGTGCTGTAATCATCGATATACTTATTTACAAAAACAGAGAAGGTAACGATAAATATATTGTTTTTATTCTAATTCGAATATGGGGGAATATACAAGATGACGTAATAATTGTCTTAAGGACATAAAAAAAAAACAAAAAAATAACAATAACCTGTTATGTATATTATAATTTCTTGAGTCACCGTTATAATTAGAGATTTCGATTAGAATAATCTCGCTCTACACTACGCGGAAGTATTTTATCTGTGTTATTTGTCGTGTTGAGTGAAATATATAATAATCTTTAACTGTTAATTGTATATGTTTTAATTTCGGATAAAAAGAAATGGACGGCGGTCCCTTCAGTTATAGCGCATAAACGCGCTGCAGCCCTCAGGCCACGTCCACGCGACAACCCTTCGAGCCCGTGCCCTTGCAATGATGTCCACACCCGAGATTCGAAAACTGAGCGATGAATATTGAGCAGTGCTTGAATGAAGTGTGTTGTATTTCTACTGAAGGAAAACTGAACTCGTATCAAAAATTGAGGCTTAACAACTAATGTTGAAAAGTAAGTCATGGCACATCTCAACTAGCGGTGCAACATTATATATTTTATGAAACATTTTGGTTTGTTTTTCTTTTCGCAATAGAATTGTTTGTATCAATTCGACATTTTGTAAATTTCGTTTAACTTTAATAATTCAGCAAACAAAAACAACTAAAAGGCAATGCCTTTTAGTTAATAAAAAATGTAAATAAAAAAAATATGTATATTAAATATGTAAATAAAAAAAAAGATTAATTTTAAAACAATATCAACAGATTCATGTGTAAGACCTATAAAGCGTAGGTTATAGCTACGACTACGGCTACGTCCATGAGTTAGGCGGTCGCGCCCCAGATCAACTGATTTTTTTTTTTTATGAAATAGGGGGCAGACGAGCAGACGGATCACCTGATGGTAAGTGATTACCGTCGCCCATGGATACCTGCAACACCAGAGGGGCTACAAGTGCGCTGGCGGCCTTTGAGGGACGAATATGATCATAGGGAGGGAAGGGTTGAGGGGTAGAGGGAAGGGAATAGGGAGGGGTTAGGCCTCCGGTACCCTCACTCACACGACGAAACACAACGCAAGCATTGCTTCACATCGGTTTTCTGTGAGGCCGTGGTATCACTCCGGTCTTGCGTTAGACTAAAAATGGTGGTGTTATCATCAGTACTGATAAAAATATGACATCGAAAAGTCAGGTTTTACAATAGATGAGCAACATAAGCGCAAATTCAGATTGGTCGTAATCGGAGTGCAGTCATCGATGCAAGAAATTGAAGTCTTTAAATGTATTTTTCATCCTTACAAATCCTTACAGAAAATTCAAGCATAATAATCGACGCGTTTTTAACTTCTATTGCTCCTAGTCATAAGTCAGCATAGAAAGCCGCTGAGACTTGCAATTATGTATAAATAGAAAGGCTTCGATTAATAGAAATTCTCACACAAATACGCAAGGTCTGGATAAGGACAAAGTATTTGTAAATTGGTTTCGTGCCCTGTGAGATTTCACTTTTGTAACAAGATTAGTAAATTAGTAAAAACAAGTATTAGTAAAAATAAAAATATAATTTAATAATTTTATTTAATAATATTAAATCATATTTCTTTAGTACTATTATTTTATTTTGTATACTATCTACTATCTTTGTATACTACGGAATGCCGTAAGTCATACAGCAAGTTACACAAACGTCCATTAAGGTTTAATGACGCCTTCAAGCTCCAATTAAATGTCAAATTTATATGGGTAATTTTGCTTTAACTAATGACAATTTTAATGGAGGTTTGTGCAACTTGCTGTATGGCTTACGGCATTCCGTTGAACAATTCCAAAAATAGGCATAAGTAACATATAGTGAAGCTTTATGGAATATTTATTTAACCTAGTTTATATTTTTGTTGGCGCTGGAACTTCCTTATCGTAATACATCTTCTTCTATACTATAATAAAAACGTAACCGATCGATGTCTGTACATTGAAGATATATCAAAAAAACTGTTATGAGGGACATTCATAAGCGTAATAGAACACAAAACAATGAATTTTTAATTTTTTGTCTGTTTGTCTGTTTGTCGGTTTGTCTGTGCGTTTGTGCACGATAATCTCAGAAACGGCAGAATCGATTTAAATGCAGTTTTCACTGTTATATTGTGGTATTCTTAAGTTAACATTTAGTGTAAGATTTATTTCAATCGGTTCACAAATAAAAAAGTTATGTCAATTTGAAGTGACGTGGTCGCCAAAATTGCTATGAAATATTTACTGTTTTATTAAATTTTCATCTTTGATATATTGATCATCATCATTAACTCTTTGATAGCCAAACTGCAGGGCCTCAGGCCTTTGTTGAATAATTTTTGGTCACTCATCCCGTGAACAACTCTTGCAAAAATTGCTTAGCAATATCGATCGTGCGCAGTGGCGCTTATCCGTAGCGCCACCGAGCTACGAATTAATATTGTCTATGAAATGATAATTTGTGTGATGAATATTAAAAAAAAAAAAATTTGACAACTCTAAAGTAAGTTGACCTCATTTATAAATGGCCAATGATATTAAATAGGGTTCAGGTTATAATAGACGTGTGGTATACGATCACGCGAGTAAGAGAACAAGCGACAAGAGCCTTCCGATGATGCAATTAAGCATCGAGTAGTTTACAGTGAACGCATATTTTTATCAGATTATGGATGGTTAAGAAGGATGGGCCATGACCCTCCACGCTGGCCCAATGCGGATTGGAGGGTATTAACGACTGCAAATGCAGCCGGGACCAACGGCTTAACGTGCCTTCCAAAGCACGGAGTAGCTCGAGATAATATTTTTTTGGTCACCCATCTGGTGACCGACCCTTGCAAAAGTTGCTTAACGACAACGATCGCGGGTCGCGGCGCTTATCCACTACGCCACCGAGGGCAGTTCACTATCGGGTTCACGGAGGAGAATCCTACTCACCCCCTGTTGCTTGCTCCGTAGCAGAGACAATGTCAGAAGCTTTTCCACGACGTTAAAAAGTTAGATTCACGTCAACCGAAGTTAAGAAGGTAAAGACAACTCGATTTTTTTTTCTATATAACAATTTTTTATGTAATAATAATACTACTTTTGTTTTTTTTTAACATACAAATTTGCTGCAGATACTTACTTTAAAGTTGGTATTTTCAGTCTTCGCCGGAAACAATGGTTTATTCATTTGTCACAACACATATAATATTACGCGAGTCTGAGGATCGGTTCAGAGTAGCTCGGTGGCGTAGTGAATAAACACCATGGCTCTCGTTGTAGTTGTTAAGCAACTTTCACAAAGGTCGGTCACAGGATGGGTGACCAAAAAATATTATCTCAAGCAACTCCAAGCTTTGTAAGGCACGTAAAGCGATTGGTCCTGGTTGTATTTGCAGTCGTTGATATCCTCCAATTCGCATTGGGCCAGCATGGAAGGTCGTGGCCCATCCTTCTTAATCCAAAGGGCTCCTGCTGTTGGTGACGTAAAACAGCTGATGATGATGTTGAGGACCGTTCAAATCTTTTTTTTTTTTTGACGCTGAGAAATGCGTTACGCATACCCGCTTCGCCCTGCGCGGGCTCCACGGGTGATGTGGGACTCCTCCTGTGGCCCCACCCCCAAAAGGGGGCTAGACAAGAAACAGAAGTTTACCCACTAAAACTCAGCGATGTCCCTCTCATGGTGGGCGAGGCGCGGGATCGGCCCGGAGGCCATACACCGCGCAGTTCGCCCCCATTTCGGCCTGCCCTTAAAGGACAGGTTCCACTCGGGTTGGGGGTACGTCTCAGAGACATTCGAGACGCATCCCCACGACGAGGCAGGAGCGTGCAATGCCGACCGGTGCGCGAACCGGCCAGCTGCCCCTGACTAGGGACCAGAGATGCGCAACTGTGCAATCTCCGGGCCCCTACCCATCGTGTTGGGAGGATCCACACAGGCATAGCCCTTTTCGTGGATCCCCCCCCCCCTGTAGGTCGATGCGCCACAGAAGACCAGCCTCATCACTCCCTGTATCAGCCCCGAAGGGCAGACAGGGGCGTCCAGCTAGTCGACGGGTCGCATCCCCTCTCGTCGCGCCGCGGCTATGGCCCTACCGAGGTCCCGGCGCCGCACCAGTCGTCGTGCAAGCACAGCAGGTAAGTCCCCAGGTAAATACCCAGGTAAGTACCCACCATACTACTCCAGACTAGTACGGCGTGTAAATGTGTGTGTAAAGTGTGTGAGTGTGTGTGAGAGTGTGTGTATGTATATGTATGTGTAACTGTGAAAGTGTGACTGTATGTGTACGTGTTGTGTAGGGTAGAGTAAACCGTTCAAATCTGACTTAAGCTCAGTTAAGCACCTCTCGGAAGTACGTGTTAGTAGACGATTTCCTTCGAGTGTGGAAAGTCGAAATTAAAATGTGTATTTATTTTTTATATTAATAAATAAAACTCCACGTATTGTGTCAGACATGTACCAACCGACTTTTATTGACAAAGAAAGAGATCGGACGGAAAGCGCTCGGTCTCGGGAGACACCTGAAAAACGCGAAACGTATTTAACTGCCCATC